AAGACTTTCTTTTTGTTAAGTTGTTGAAAATTTCTGAGGAACACTGTTATTTCTTTCCTGAAACATTTGCTGGAGTTTAGCACTAACATCACCAGTTTCTTGGCTTTTTCTGATGGCAGTTTTCTTGCTATTGAATCTTTCTCTTCTGTCACCGCTGAGATGTTCAGACTTTTATTTCTTTCTGATTATTTCTGGGCGTGGTACATTCATCCAACGACTTACTCATTTCTGCTAAGCTTCCTACTGTGTTGATATAAGATGGTTTCCAATAGCTTCTTCTGATTCTTTGTGTCCCTGTGGGGTCTGTTGTAATGTCTCCACCTCACTTCTGACTTTGCTTTTTGTGGTGTTTTTTTTTTTCTTGATTCATTAAGCTCAAGGTCAGTTAATTTTGGGTTCTATTTTCAAAAACTGATTTCTTTTTGTTGAGCTTTTGTATTGGGCTTTTAGCTTGTGTTTCACTGATTTTTGCTGCAGTATAATTTTTCTTTCCTCCTAGGACTGGATTTAATTTCTTTTTTTTTCAATTCCTGTGGACATAATGTTGACTTTCTAAATTACAACTTCTTGCCATTTCCACTTATGTATTTATTTCTATAAACATTCCTCTGAAAATTCAATTTGATGGGTCTTGAAAATTTTGAGATTTTATGTTACCATTGATTTCCTGAAGATATTTTTAGAATTGTCCTTTTAAACTCTTCCTCCACTCTCTGATTTTTTACAAGCATATTGTTTAATTACCATGAATCTGTAGTTTTCCTGAAATTCTCATTATAAATAACTAGTTTCAAATCATAGTGAGCAGGAAAGGATAGTTGATATAACTTGAGTCTTTTTAGATTTTCTCGTATTTGGCTTGCGGTCTAACTTGTAATGCGTCTTAGAAATGGTGGGTCTGTTTGTCAAATGGGTGTGATCACTAGTGTTATTGAATGGAATGTTTTATATGTGTTCATTAGATTCATTTGCTCTAAAGCACTATTTAAGTCCGATATTGCCTCATTCATTTCCTGTCTTGATGACCTTAAACACTGTGCAGTAATGTCCTCTCTAGTGGGTGTATTGCAATCGCTATCTTATTTCTGATGCTTTAATGTTTACATATTTAAATGTTCAATACTTGGCAAACAAGGGAGACATTTTAACACATTCATGCAAGATCCTGTTATTTATAAAATGTATATAGTCCGTGTGTCAGGAGTGCTATATACTCGTGTTGAAAAAAAAAACATTCTAAATACTGTATAGTCTCCCTAGTGCAAGAAATGGTAAGAATACATAAAAGTTTATGATACTCATGATTCCCCATTACTTTGCTTTGAAACCTTATAGTGCTTCTATTCATTAGTTGGAATGGTTTTATCCTGGTTTGTTTGATTTTATTATCTGTGATGGTATGAGCAGCTATTCTGAAGAAAATAAGACATTGTAATAGCCAGTGCTGATTTAATATCTCTTGCTCTGAAGTCCTATCATGCTTTTGTTCTTCTGTTTCTATTGGTTCTATCATGTTGTATCTTATTGAATTTTATTATGTGTGGTAGAATAAACAATTTTTATGGACAATGAGATAATATAGTAACCATTGTTCATTGTCTGTTATTGGCTTCTGAATGCCCTGTAATACTTTCATTCTCTTAAATGGTTTTATACTATTTTGTTATGTTTGATAGTACCGTGTATGAAATTTGCTCAGCTATTTCAAGGAAAGAGACATTCTGGCAGCTACTGTTATATTGGGTTGCCTTGTGGTAAAATACTGTGTTGTTTTAATTGTTCTGTTCTGATATGCTTTGTTATGTCCTCTTTTATCTTAGTCTCTTTAAAATAAAAAAAATAAAAAATAAAAAGCAAAAAAAACACTCATTATAAAATATCCTCCTTTGTCTCTGTTTAGAATTTTTAAAAGTAGTTTTTTATTGGCCCCTTTGGGTGGGACACATCTCAATCCTGTGATATCCCCAAGAGGATGAGATTGGCTGCAAGTTCTCCACTCATTTCTGGTCCCCAGTGTCCCAACAGTTACATTGCCTAGAGATTTAAAAAAAATTCAAAATGTTCATTCAGTAGGAAGCTGTGTGGTTTACAGTCTAGAATTCTATCAATTAGCACACCTTCTGATATCACCGTGAGCTCCTGATTGCAACAAAAGTAGAAAAAGCAATTCTGCCTCACAGAAAATGCTGTCGTGAAATATCTCTAACTTCGTCTCCCTGTTGCTGAGGACACGACGGCTGCCTGAACCATTTATTTTTCTGCAAAGAAAAAGATTCAGGCAACACATCTTCAGTGGATCACATTTGAGCAGGCAAGAAGAGCACAGTAAGTTCTTGGCAATGAAACACAAGGACAGAGCAGCATTTCCTCTGGACACATAGCCTGGCTACAGAATTAAGGAAAGTTTGTAGATTCAGAGAAAAAAAAATTTTTTTTCTTTGTTTTTTCCAGTACCGGGGATCGAACTCACGACAGCCTGCTTGCAAGGCAGGTGCTTATGCCACTGAGCTAAATCCCCAGCTCCCAGAAAAAAACATGTTAAAAAATTACAAGCACTAGCCAAGTGGCTTCTGCTTCTCTGGTATCTTTCTTGTGCTCTGCTCCTTTATGATATTATTTTCCACATTCACTCCCCTCTCATAAGGAGATACCTCTTTCAGGTTTCTCTCCTGGGTGACCTTGGGTTCCCCTAACATCTTACCTGGCCTCCTGTTCACCTAACTCAACCGCAGAACTCATGGGAATCTTGATTCTCATTTACACACAAATTCAAAGAGCATTGCAAGCAACTTCAGTGCTCTCTGCAAAATGCAGAAATCATAGCTGTCTCTGTTAAATGAACTCAGGCATGAAGAGATTGACAGAGTTTCTGCGTCTGGTAAGTGTTAATAAACACGATTCTCAGCATTATCTGAGTTTCTTGGCAAAAACTGTCCCCCTCCCCGTATGCTGCATTTTTGTATTGTATTGCAAAGGGCAATTTTCATATAGTATAAAAATTGGAAATAGAACATTACACTTGATTTTATTATTGAGCCTTACCAAACACTTTTCATCCTAAAGGGTTGCCAGTGTAATCCTCTAAAATGTGACCAAGTAAGTTTTATGCAGATTCTGAAGCTGAGACTGCTTTTGCTTCATTGGTCAGACAAATTTGAAATCTCAGGACAGCAGTAATGGTATCTGGCAGTAGTCATGATAGCATCAATATGCGTTTCATAGAGATTCCTCAATTCCACGTCAGGATGTATATTATCTGCTGATCAAAGAAGCAATTTTGTCATGTTTATGCAAGATTTTAGTTTACAATTTTCTTTCTATTTCTATGAAGTATCTTTTGCATCTAATAAGATACTCCTATTAAATCTAGAATTTCACAGTATAAAATGCAAATTATTAATATTTAATGTTCATCACTTTTTAGGGTAGTGTGCTACCCAGCCTTCAAATTTTGCATGCAATTAGTATATTTTTATTATAGTTTTTATATAATTTATATAAAATATATACAATTTTATGTAATTTTTTTTATTTTAAAGTAGGTAAAACTAAACAGAACAATGTAGATCAGAAGAAAACAATGTAAGTGACACAGATTTCAAAGCAAGATAACAGGAGATCTACCATGGCTACCAAATATCTCTTGTTTTCTTCCAAATAGTTGTCCACATCTTCACACACAATGAACTCATATAAAACAAAATAGTATTAAACTGATCAGAACAGAGTGATGAAGGTGTTATAGGCCTTCAAACCCAGATGATGGGGAAATCAACAATAGCTACTGTAATATCTCTCGTTCTCTTCAAAATAGCTGTCCATATCTTCATGTATGTTGAAATTAAACAATACAGAACAGACTAAAACCACTTTGAATAAAGAATAATAGTATTGCTGGATTTCACAGCATGACACTATGGAATCAGCAATGAACACCATAATGTCTCTTTTTCTTCAAAGTAGCTGTTCATCACACATAATATATTCAGTTCTCATAAACCGTTTAGGGGAAGTTCTAGGCATGTATAAGCCTCTACATGTCTACCTATCCTTTCTGCATGAGAGGGAAAAACAAAACAAATTCCTGGAAAGACAAGAAACAAAAAAGACAAATAAATAACAATAGCAAAGAGCCCCAAACACTGACGATGCGGGCCTTCAAAGCAAGGTGGCAGGAGCGTAGCTAGGTTGTTATTTACATAATGTCCTTCAAGAGTTCCTCAGATCACCAGACACTAACATGCAAAATTGTTCCAGTCCTATGAATGTTAGCTGTTTTGTTCCAATAACTTATGGAATTTGTAGCTATAATTAGTGTATATTTATAGCTAAGTGGTTTGAAATATTTTCCAGCCATGTGAATTAATGAAAAAATAGGTTTTCCTTATGCTGCTTCTATTACAACAAGCTGTTGCCTTTGAGTATCAATATTAAAACAGATTAAGAAAATTAATTGGGAGCTATTTTCATGTAATCCTAAATAATATCGATGGCTATAAATCAGTGAGCTTAAAAGTTACAAGTTTGACTTCTTGTTTTCATGGAAGAAAACATGGCTGTACTATAATCTCTCCACTAACCTTTGAGATATTATACTTTTAATTGAAAATCATTCAAATGAATTAATAATGCCATTCTTATATCTTACTGAGATTACACAGATCCAAAACTTTAATTTTTCACTAATAAGGGCATTGTGATGTAAATTTTGAAATAATTGGGTAGACTTCTGAGGTGAGATGAGCTGATTGTGAGGACGTCAGGGCAGTTGAATAGATTGAGCTTTCTGTGCTGCATTGGATTTTCTGTCTGATTTTCCAGCTACTGCTACCAACAAAAGACAAAGACGGCGATCTTTGAAAACCCCACTTTGAACATCAGAAGTGAGAAGAACATTAAGCAAACACAAAGACCCTCAATGTATTAGGATTAAACTAAAGAACAATCGCATCTCTGATAAGCCTCCTGCATATCGTCTCTCTTGAAGCTATTTCCTGTACATGGAACTAGAAAACCACACAGAGATTCCAGTATTTCTCCTCCTGGGACTCTCTGAGAAGCCGGAGATTCAGTCCATATTGTTTGGGCTGTTTCTGTCTTTGTACCTGGTGACCATCTTTGGGAACCTGCTCATCCTGCTGGCCATTGTCTCTGACCCCCACCTGCACACCCCCATGTACTTCTTCCTCTCCAACCTGTCCTTGTCTGACATCTGTTTCACCTCCACCACTGTCCCCAAGATGCTACTGAATATCCAGACACAAAACAAAGTCATCACCTACGCAGGCTGCATCACACAGATGTACTTTTTCACGGTGTTTGGACTTTGGGACAATTTACTGCTGACTGCCATGGCCTATGACCGCTTCGTGGCCATCTGTCACCCCCTGCACTATCCTGTCCTAATGAACGCCAGGCTCTGTGGCCAGTTGCTGCTCCTGACCTGGCTCCTCAGCGTGCTGGGCGCCCTCCCCGAGAGCCTGACTGCCCTGCGCCTCTCTTTCTGTGCTGTCATGGAGATCCCACACTATTTCTGTGAACTCCCTGCAGTCCTCAAGCTCGCCTGCTCCGACACCTTCCTCAACAGTGTCGTGTTATACATTGTGACGGGGGTCATGGGATTTTTCCCTCTTGCAGGAATCCTTTTCTCCTATTGGCAAATCGTGGCTTCCATCCTGCAGATCTCAACAAAAGGAGGGAAGTATAAAGCGTTTTCCACCTGCGGCTCTCACCTCTCTGTTGTCTGCCTGTTCTACGGAACGTGCCTGGGGGTCTACCTCAGCTCCACCTGGACACATGCCTCTTGGACAGGGGTGTTTGCCTCTGTCTTCTACACGGTGGTCACTCCGATGATGAACCCCTTCATCTACAGTATGAGAAACAGGGACATGAAGAGGGCCCTCAAATTCCTTTTATGTGGCCTGATGTGTTCAAAGGGACAGAAAACCTGGACAAACAAGAGAGAAGGAATGGATCCAAGCTCTTGATACTTAGGACTTCAAAGTGTCACTCGCTCGAACAGATGTTTTATTTATATGCTTATTCGCAACTTGTAAATGTTCTTTTATGAAGTTTCCTTTACGTCTAATGCTCATTTTTGTATTTGGGTTTTTCTTCAAGTTATAAAGGAATTCTTTGTCATTCCTATGTGTGTGCTTGAGTCCAAGTGTGTGCACTTTTTATCCTAATGAATGGCTTCATTTTCAATTTAATTCATGGCAACTTTTGATGTTCAAATATACCATCCGGGATAAAGTCCAATTTTAGTCTCTTTGTGAACTATATATGCAGACACGAAACAAAGCTGTCACCTATGCAGGCTGTATCACCCAAATAATTTTGTTTGTTGCCCCAATAATGGATTATGTGTATATAAAGTGTTATGATCAAATCACAGGAGTTAATATCTCCAGGTCCTTAATTGATGTTTTAAACTTTTGATTGACATATAACCTACATACTTACAGGGGACATGATGATAGCTGGGAACATCCTTACTACATGGTCAAATCAGGATAACTAACACTTCTACCTCTACAGTTCTGATACCCTGTGTCAATCAGAATTTGAGATCTCAAATTTGAGATCTGTTTGATCTTAGATACTGAGTAACACAGGAGTGCTCAATTTATGTTTTTTACTGCTATATATTTGTAGTACGTAATGTTTACTTCCATTCTGGGGAGTTGGTCACACACATAATGCATCTTAACTTGTTTTTATCCCCTTTGTCTCTTCCTCCCCTCCCCTTCATCTCTAGGTCTTCTTCCCAATTTGAGAAAGATCTACCTACTTTCTATTTTCTGTCATTTATATTTCTCTTTATTTAATAATTTGAATTTCTCATATAAGGAAAATTATGTAATAGGAAAGCCTGTGTGTCTATTTTATTTCACCTAACAAAATATTCCCTGCCTTGTTAATGAAATAGATGAGTCTTTTCATGTGCAAATACGATTTTGATACAATCTCATTTTCCACTTTTTTAAAATCACCTTTCCCTTCTGTAGACCAGAATCTGGGGTCTCAAGAATTATTTGAGGTCAGAATGTAAGTAAGAGCGAAGGTCACCAACTTTTGGCACAGTGATGGTCACAAATTTTTAAAATTTAACATGTTTGAAGATAATATACATTTTTAACAATGTTAAAGGGTTTATTTAAATAATTTGAGGTTTCCTAATCTTTTTTTAAGCTAGAATTGTGTGTGAAATAGTGCTGAGTAATTACAGTTGGAGCTCCAGCCAGATAGAAGGATCTCAGCAGTAAACAACAAATTCTCACAGCATGCTGGTTGCCAAGCTATCGTGCTCAGTGGATTAAATTCATGTCAAACACCTGATTTTTCAATTTATGAGGGTTTTGTTTAGAGTAGTGTATATGTATGCGTAATTATTTTGAGCATTAATCTTAGGGATTTGTAAATAATCCATTGGCGAGCAGAAGAGAATGCATAAGGCTGCATTTAAAAGGTGTGCACAACCCTCAAACCCTGTATTTTTAACAAACTTTTAACTGTGCAAATTTGTGAGATACAGCATATAATTTATCAGGTTTGTACAAACTGTAGTGATCAGATCACAAGAGTCAATATTTCCGTGTCTTTAATAGATTTTTAAGACTTTAGATTAACATATTTACATACTTACAGACAACGTGGCAATGGCCGAGTCTATGCTTTCCATATGTACTAATCAAATCAGAATAACACTGCTATCTCCATAACACTGTTAACATTTTGATTAACACATTGTTGTAGTCGGGGTTGCAAGGATAACAAGACAATATAAGACACATAATTCATAGTAGTATTTATGATGGTCACCCAGAGTCAAATATAAAGAAATTGCAGGAAATCTGTCCACACACTAATGACCCAAGGAAATCCAGCTGAGATCTGGATCCCTTGGCAATGTCCTTCCTGCATGAGTCCAGTTGAAGTTCCAGAGACTATGACAATGCCCCCCCCCCACAAGTCTAACTGGAAGCCTAGAACCAACGACAATGACCCATGTAAGTCTGTTTCCTGAATCTGCACTGGGAAGGCTCAAAGGTCAGTGGCAGGAGCTAGAAAGTCTGTGCCAGCGTGGGAAGGATCTGTGCCAGCAGGCTGAGGGTTCTGCAGTGGAGCCAAGAAGCAACACTTAAAATAAGGACCAGGGCTCCCCCAAAATGAATGGCCACTCTCAGCCATTAATTTACAATTTAATAATATTCGTGGGATCATTTCAATTCCTTTGCATTTACTTAAGCATGTTCTATGGGCTAATATATGGCCTATTTTAGAGAACATCCCACCTATAGCTGAGAAGGACATGTATTCTGATGTTGTGTGGAACACTCTCATAAACCATTTGTTGGCAGGTTTGATTCTGTTCTGTTATTTCTTTGCTGACTTTTTGTCCAGTTGATCTATCTCTCTGTGACAATGGGGTGTTAAGGTCCCCTATTACCAATGCATTCCTATGTATTTGATTCTTCATGTCCATTAGTATCTATCTTACATAGTTGGGTCTCCTGTATTTGGTGCATATATGTTTATGATTGCTATCTCTTCCTAACAAGGATGTAATGACCTTTTTTATTCCTTTTGATCAATTTTGGTTTGAAGTTCACATTGTCTGCAAACTGCACAGCTACCCCTGCTTTTTTTCTGGGTTCCTGTCACATAGACAATTGTTTTTCACCATTTAACTTTCAGCCTGAGGGTTTTTTTTTTTTTAGTTAGATGTATTTCTTGTATAAAGCATATTGTGGGGTCTTGTTTGTTCATCCACTCTCATAATCTATGTCTTTTAATTGGTGAACTGAAGCTATTTACACTGATAGTTATAACAGATATGCATTGGCTTGTCTTTTTCATGTTGTTTTTCTGTTTTGGTTCCCTGATTTTCCTCTGTTTAACGTCTTGCCCCTCCTGGTGGCTTCTTTCTGCTGGTGTTTTGGGAATTGAGATCATTTTTATGACTCTCTAGAATATTTTTCAGTACTCTTTCTAGGGTTGGTTTGGTGGAAGTGAATTTCTTCAGTTGTTCTTTGTCATGGAAGAATCTTATTTTTCCATTAGCTTTGAAAGATACTTTTTCAGGATACATTAATCTGACTCAAAAATTGTTTTCTTTCAGGGTTTGAAATACTTTACTCCAAGCCCTTCATGACTTAAGGGTTTGTGTTGAGAAGTTGGCCAATATTCTAACAGGCTCTCTTTGACAAGTAATCTTTTAACAGAATTTAGTATTCTCTTTTTATGCTGAATTTCTGGGATCTTGATTATTATATGTTTGGGTGTATATTTATCTTGATTATGGCTGTTTGGAGTTCTATATGCCTCATTTATCTGTATTTCAGATTCTTTTCCCATGCTTGGGAAATTTTCTGGTATTGTGACTTGAAATGTTTTTTAATGTCATTTGCATTTACTCCTGCTTTCTAATGACACCTATATGTCTTATATTAATTTTTCATATCATGGAGCTGTTGAATTGTTATTTCATGGTCCCTTATTATTTTTAAGAGTTCTTTCCTTGTGTGATTGCTAGTTGCTGTCCTGTCTTCAAGATCTAAAAGTCTGTCTTTAGTTTCATTCACGCAGTTTTGCTAGCTTTCAGTGAAAATTTGAATTTCCTGCATATCTCTTTGAGTTTGTTTCATGCATTCTGTTTCTTTCCTGTATTGTTCATTCATGGTTCCCATCATTTTCCACACTCCTGTACTTTTTTATCTGTGTCTTCTCTAACTAGGCTGAACAACGCCTTCATTTTCATTTCTTTCTCTACTTGAGAGATTATTTCTGCTCTGATTTCCTCAATAGCCTCATAGATTTGTCTATTTACCTCAGGTGCTATATTTTCACATGTTTCAGGTGTGTGATTTCAAATGTCCTCTATTTCAGTGTCTCCTGTGCTTGTTCCAGATGGCATGAGAGTTTGAGATTGCATTCTGCTTTTTTCCTTTTGTCATTTTACCACTTAATTAATATTTTGGTCTTTTCTGTCCTGCTAACCTGAGGGGGAGGGGTGGTCAAGACTCCCCTCAGCTGCTGAGGTCTTCTGGGTGTGAAAGAGGGCTATCTCCTGGCTCTTCAAGAATTTGGTTCTTTTTTTTCCAAAATCTTTGGAAAAGCATGAAGAATTCTCCAATTCCTGTTGGCCACTTGGGATTTGAATGTACACAAACTGGATTCCCTCCTGAACATTTATTTTTTACCTTCCTTGAGGATGAAAATGATGGTAGAGGTGGAGGGACCCAGCACTTTTCTGGGGGCTTGAGAGGCCACCATTTTCCTATTAATGACCAAGACATTGTCTGCTTTAGTCTGTACCATGGTAGCTCAGAGGAGACTAGGAACACTGATGTCTCACTGAGGGTGTCTTGCTGGACAAGGACCTCTTCATAAGCTTCTTAGGAGGTCAGTTCTAATCATGACTCCATGGTCAACACAGAACCAGAGTGTAGCTCTACAAGAAACCAGGTTTTCTTCTGTTTTTCTTTTTCTCATGACTCCATCAACTGCCTCAACTTGATTTATAAGTTAAACCTGGAAAACCTACAAAATGAATGCTCTTGGTTTATCTAGAAATAACACAAAAAACATTGCCATTATTTTTGATAAAGGACTGCATGGTGAATTTAAATCTAAATAAAATATGATTTTTAAAAAAATTAATCCTCCTCGATCACAGGGATAGATGTATACAGCAGGAATTGACAGTGTGGTCTTCTACCTGTTTTTATTAGTGCAGTGCTCGCTGAGTACTGTCTATTGTTACTTTCCTGCTCTTAAGGATGAGATGTGTCTCCATGCAGATCCTGTATCTAATTTTGCAAATATACAAGTACAACTTGATTTTCATTATCATCCATCTTTCTGTAAGGTATTTCAGCTGCTGGGGATGTGTTACCAAGGTGGAAGATTACTTGTTCCCATTACTTGAAGTGGATGAGATCTTTTAACATGGCTTGGAATTAGGATGTACTGTCCATTTCCG